ACAATAGGTCAAACTCTCCCTTTGTCTTTGAAGAGACTTGGTACACTGTGCTCTGAATTCTGGTATCACGAGGCTTATCTCTAAAGTCAGTCCAGGTTTAATTCCCAGTGCTAATTCAATAAGGTCTCCAACTGGCCTTTCACTAGGCAGTTTTTGACATAGAAATAAAACAGAATCAAAGAAACAATGAAGTAACAAGACCGTGTCAAAACTCCTTTCATTTTTCACTACTTATTATGTCAAGGTCTAGAGCAATAACTCTAACCTGTTTTAGAGGATAATCTCTAAGATTACTTCCTCACGTGTCTTCTATGGTTCTGTAAAAACTAACTATTCTCTGAATAGTTTTTGTTGTTGTTGTTTTTATGCATTTGTGAAGTTCTTTTAATCTAAATGTCACCTTCTTACCATGACTCCAACATTCATTTTTACGTTTACCTATTCTTAGAGCTGAATGACACTTATTACCTACTTTCCTTCCTCTTCTTTTGCTGGTGGGTGGGTAGGTGGCATAACCAAGCATAATCAGGGCTTATTCCTGGCTCGGTGCTCAGAGACCATTCCTGGTTGGGTTCAGGGAGCCATATGGTCTGCTGGGGGTTGAACCCAGACCAGCTATTTGCAAGGCAAATTCCTCAGCCCCTACTATCTCTCAAAATCTCATATTACCTACTCTGTAAGTAGTTTTTATAATCTCCTCAAAGGAACAATAGATATTTTCTTTAAAAAACTACTTTGGAGTCTCAAGGAACTAAGGAATTTCCTTTGCATGTGACTAACCCTGACATTTGATCCCCAGCACCACATAGTCCCCTGAGAACTTACAGGAGTGATCCCAGAGCCACGAGTAAACTCTTAGCACTGCTAGCTGTGTCCTAACTCTTCCTCCAAAAAACCTACTGCTAGGACTACTACTATCAATACTAAATCTCCACCATATATATACACACATATATATATACACACATTATAAACTCATTGTCTCCTGGGTTTTTGTTTTAAACCCTATATTAGACAGTAGGCAAGCTTTAGGCAAGAATTGTGAAAGATTTATCCTGTGTCCTTCAGAGTACATAGAAATAATTGAATAAATATTTGTCTAATCATTAAATATATCACTGTCACTGTCCTCCCGCTGTTATTGATTTGCTCGAGTGGGCCCAGTAACGTCTCCATCGTGAGACTTTGTTGTTACTGTGTTTGGCATATTGGATATGTCACGGGTAGCTTGCCAGGCTTTACAGTGGGGGCGAGATACTCTCAGTAGCTTGCAGGGCTCTCCGAGAGGGGCGGAGGAATAGAACTCGGCTCGGCCATGTTGGCTGCATGCAAGGCAAACGCCTTACCTGCTGTGCTATTGCTCCAGCCCAAGTATCTTAGACTAATTTTTATATAAGAATATTTATCAAGTAGAGACTCAAGAGATCCACATAAATAATTTATTAGAATTTAATAATAAATATAATAAAATAAAGGTACAGTTTTAATATACTTAGATAAAAATGTTTAGGGTGAAAAAATATTCAACAAGACATTTTTATACTCTTCTGTAGAGTGTATATGTTAAGGTTAAGTGTCAAAAGCTAATGAACAAACCTGAAAAACAATTTGTACATTAATGAACAATAGTCTTGTTCGCATATGAGGACTATTCTGAAATTAGACACTCCAATTTAATTACAAATGCCTTTGCAAAGTAATTTGAGGCAAATTACTCAAGGGAGGGACTATTCTATTCATCTGTATACCCCCATATACTTTATGGAATAACATTTAAAAATACTTAGTAAAATCAATATTGGCATTGAAATAACTGTTGCTATTTCAAGTAAGTAAACCATCTAGAAAAAATTGATACACTAGAACAATTTCCTTCATTTCAAGGAGCACGTGATTGATCTTCACTATCCTATTAGCCTGAGACTCATGTCCTTGACTATTATATTTCTTTTTCTTAAAGTTTCATTCCTTGTCTGCAAGTCAAATGAACTTTCTGCTTCACATTTTCTTGCCTCTATGCTTCAAGAAATTTGGCAATTTCTTATATAATTTATCAATTTTCTCTAGTGTTGTGTCTTATGTAACTTCTTTTTCGTTATCTATGTGTATGTATATCTCATATACTTACATGTATACATACCTATGAACTTAGCATAGGACAGTGGTACTTGGAAAGCACCAAATTACAACAACAATAATAGTAATAACTAATTTGTAAATAATACTAATGGAGCCCAAATCTGGAAAAGAATTTTTGACAAGCTATAGAAGAAATATGCTTCCTAAACAATGATTTTTAAATATAATTGAACATAAATTTTAACAACTGATAGTTTGTTAAAAAATGAAACTGTTGTTCATAATTTTGGGCCACAGCCAACTCTACTCAGAGCTTACTTCTAGTTCTATGATTAAGGATCACTTCTGGAAGTGTTCAGGGGACCATACAGGGGGTGCTGCGAATTGAACGTGGGTCTGTCAGGTACAAAAAAAGCACCTTACCTACTTTACTATCTTTCTGGCCCCTAAAAATGAAAATTTTGATGTAAATTGTTATAAGGGACTTGAAGGGATGTCAAGAGAAAACTAATTATCTGATAAGAAGGAGTAAATTTCTGAACCACTGTTGATAGTAAGTAAGCCAAAAAGGAAGAAACTATAAGATTTAAGAAACAGATGTAAGAATTACAAGTAGACTCCTTACAATGGGTCACCATCAAAAACTTCCTTTCTAGGAAAGTCATCTTTTGGCTCTTTCCCCTTACATATAATCTTTAACTTTTAAAATCAGGATAACAATATAAATTTGAGTTCCATTCACTTAAATGTACATAGAGAAACAATGGTTATTTTCTCAGAATACTTTTTAGATAGGGCACCATGCTTCAAAATGCACAATACGTGGGCTAAAATATAGCAACTCTTTATCCAATAAAACACTTTGAAAAAGTCTCTCTGTGTTAGGTATTGCAAAAGATAAGCTCTATAAAGCAGCAAGGCACTGAGAGAACGAACACATTTTCTTTAGGTTATTTCAGAGTACATAGAAAGTAAGACTTCAAGTGGTTAAGAATAAAAGAGTTTTGCCTTTCAGAAGTTTATAAAATTCCAGTATTCTAAACTTTATACACTCATCTTCTTAGGATAGTCCAACACAGTACACACTATCTTACTTCTTCATCTATTTGGCAAAGACTACATAGAGACAAATGTAACAGAGGCTCAAAATTGGACATTTATGGGAAAAATGACCAAATCCAGAAATAAAGTTGTACTAATTAGAAAACAAATAATTAAATGGCCAAACACGAATGTTGTGTAATGCAGAAAAGAGATGAATTTCTAAGGAAGACCATCTGTTTTGCAGTTTTTTGATCTTACAGTGCTACAGATCTACTCAGTGTACTTGCAATGATCTGACTGCCAGCTCAACTGCACAATTACTTTAAGCCAGAAATATTTATTGCAAAGCATCATTTGAGAGATCTGCACATTCACAGAAGACAACAGATACAACTCATTTTTGAGGAAAGGTCATTTTTAGTCCTTAAAGAAAAATATTATTCAAAATTTTTCAAAGATAAATTAAATGCTTATTAAGAGTGACATCAATATAAATGTATGATATTGCACATATCTGGCCATCAGGACCAGCATAAATCTGTCTGCCTGCATGTCTCAGGAAAACTCCTGCATATCTTGACCTGTTAGCAGCATTTACCTGGACGCTGAGCACTCTGGCTATCTCTGACTTTTTTTTTCTCATTTAACTTCCCTGTACTTCTCCTAATTTTCCTCCTCCATGAAACTCGGTCACTAGGTTTTCTTCTTCAAAGTATCTCAGTATTTAGGGGCAGGGTGCTGGTCCTCTTCTTTTATCTTTCTGTATCTTTTTCTTAATTTATATCTTCAGCCCAGTGGTTTTATATGTATATGGGATTTTCAAGTTAATATCACCAGTTCAGACTTTTCTAGTTCCCGGATTCAAAACTTCAATGATCTAATTGATATCTGTCTAATATGGAACTTTTGATTCCCCACCCTTCCTCCAGAAAACAATTCTTGTTTTTTCTATGATTTTCCATATCCTCTATAAATGGCACCACAATTCAACTAGCTTCTAAAGCCTAATTTAAAAGTCATCTCCTATTTCTCCCTTATTTTCATGTCTTGTGATATAAGAAAGTCCTACGAACTATACCTAAAATATGTATAGTTAAATAAAATAATATATAAGTAAATATTAATATATAATGTAATATCTTCATACCATTACCCTCCTTTAATTAAAGATATTATCTAGGAGTCACTTCCACTTATATCTCATTGAGTGCTAGTATAACTAGCAAAGACAGGGGATAACTATCAAAGAAAAATCAGACAGCAGTGTTTTCAATAAAGTCAGGATCTCCATTCTCAAAGGAAAGAGAATAAATATTGAGAAGTAAGCATAAGCTGCTTCATAGTTAACAAGGTAATGTTCTAAATACAGGGATACTACATTAACTAGTAAAATTAAGGGCATTTGATGCGCCATTGTTAGGAGTCCTTGACTTTTTTGTGTCCTCATGGATTTTCAAATATCCCAAGAATTGAAAGAAGAGTGTTTTATGATTTCAGTGCTTTACATAAATAAACTATACAGACTGCTTCAATATTTTACAGTTTTACCAGTGAAGATTTTTCAACTCTAGTCTACTGGACTTGATAACTGCATGACTTAGAAGTAAGCTTTCAAGCAAAGCCTTGAAATCTCAAAACTTTAAACCTCATTTAGATCTCTATAAAATACTTAAACGACTCTGGTAATGTTGCAACAGTTAGAAAATATCCAATTTATTAATAACTCAAGATAATAATTCTTTTATCTTGTAGAAGATAAAACTGCTTGGCTATTTTAGGAAAAAAAGACATATAAACTACAAAACCAGGAGGAAAACAAAATGAGCAATGAAAACTTATCAGAAAGGAAGAAAAAAAGAAACGCTACTGTGACTTACTGTTAACCAGTGGTTATCTAATAGTTCCTTAGCTGTAATTCTGTGAGCAGGATCTACTTTCATAAGTTGTTTCAACACACTTTTAGCTGCAAAAAGGGGAAAATCTTGAAAATTTTATTTATTTTAGCTACAATTATTATATTTCCAAATTATTCAGGATTAGGTCTGTGACATGAAGAAAAGATGCCAATTATTTATATGCCAGACACAGTAACAGTAATGTCTAAAAGATTGGCTAAAAGTTTAAAGCCTAAATTGAGGTATTATTACATTGATTACCCAATTTTTACTTGCCTACAGTAAAAATAAATCTAGAAATCTAAAAATTTTCTCTTCAACTTTTACTATATATTTTTAATTTTTGTTGGATGTTTTGACCATAACAATTATAAGGGATGGATTTCCACAAGTAAATGGTTTATTACTATAAGCATATTTTATGAATACACAGATGTTAAAGAATTTAAATTATTGGATGAATTTTTTATATTATAAGACATAGATAGTAACCAATTAATTTATAGTTACCACTTTCACTGATGGAGTCCCAGATTGGTTCTTCAAAATGCAGTTCTCCCTTCTTTATTAACTCAAAGAGCTTTTCCTCTGAGACTGCCATAAAAGGTGGTTCTCCAGATAATCTACAATAAAGGCAATCATCTTGTTTACATTTTTATAAGCTAAGAAAAATAATTAAATTTACATGTAACTTAGAAGCAGTGGCGCTTCCTATTTAACTGAAGGCTGAGAAGTGGTGGGTGCCTCTCTGGATGGAATAGGATTCCACAGAAGTAGCAGGTTTTTGCAAGATCAATGGAAGGTTTTGAATACAGTGAAACCTCCTGATCTGCCATGGCCTAGGGCTGTCCCATTTGAGGAAATATGCTTAAATGGGGTTAAAACACAGGCAGTGTATGAGATGAAGTGCATAGTGGTAGTGGCAGATAAGACAGAAATCACACATTGTTGTAAGCAAAGAAAAGGTAAAACCTTCAGGCACAAAAATCTTTTATCCATGATAAAATGTTATGCAAGGATTAATAATAATGAAATAAACCAAAATTAACTTTGAGAAAGTCTAATAGCTCTGTCAAAGCCAAAGTCACATTAAACTCTTCAAAACTCTTCAAAACTGACATACAAAATAAAGATGGTCTGGATAAGAAAAGTCAGACAATGCTGATTCATTTGATCCTTCTGTCTGAAAAGGTGGGATTTCAGCATACAGAACATTCAACATCAGTAAAATTATGAGTCATGTGAGTCTACAAAACTATGAGCTATTTGCATACTTTGTAATACAAGAACTATATGTCTTTAGCACTTTTTAAAGAAATTTTTGTACTATATAGTTCATAAAGAGCACTGCAAAACTGTGCTCCAATAAATAATCCAGTTCAAAAGCATAAACATATGCTTAAAAATCGAATCCATCTTGGTAGAGCCAGAAAGATAATACAGGGGTTAAGGCACTTGCCTTGCAGAGAGCCAATTTTGGTTTGATGCCTGGCACCACGTATGATCCCCAAGCACCTCCAGGACTTATCCCTGAGCACAGAGCCAGGAGTAAACTCTGAGAACTTCTCGGTATTGTTCCCCCTCAAAAAAAAAGTTGAATCCATGTTCTACAAGTGCTAACCTTCCTTATTACGGTCAACCCCAACATGTGACAATAACCCTGTAAACAATGAAACCAGACAGAAAATGGACATGGACTCAAATAGTATATGTTTAGTCTTTAAATCTTAGTATTATACTGCTAAAAGAATAAAATAATTCCATTAGACTTCCTAAGTGCTGATTTATGGCATACAATGATCTCTAAGTATCTTAATAGTTAATTTTTTACTGATATTTAAAAGCTTAAAAATAATTACCACAAGTATTTACTGATTAAGTCTAGTCTTGTTAAATATTTTACCTGATGATGATTATAATGAGGATTTTCCTAGGGAGAAACATTGCTTTATTCCTAGTAGTTTATCAAACCCAATAGGACAATAATGTTTTTCATTAATCAATAGCTTATTAAAATTTAAATATTAATTATAAATTAATATTTACCAAATTGTACTGCAAATTATTTAAATATAATTTACCTAGCTCATTCTGACCCCTCTTCTCTCTTATCTTGCTTGCCTTGCTATTGCTTAGTTTTAAAATACAATGAAAAGAAAACCAGAAAAATGGCCTTATGGACAATTACTATCTATTACAAGTGTAGGCCAGCAAAGGCCCAGCTCATTGGGTCTATAACAGCCAGTGCAATGCACATTTACCAATTTCTTAGATGTTCCTGCATTGCAAGCTGTATTACTATCATGCAATATAGCTTGAGGGCTATGTTTGAAAAATTCTACTTTTTTTTCTGTCCTTTACAATTTTACTTATACAAAAATGTATCTAATGGTTGGTCAATCAGCAGCATATGAAATTTTATGACGGCAATTTTCTGCACATTCAGAAAAGGGAATTCAAGATATGAAAAGATGCCTCTTAAAGACTTCCTCCTATTTCTTTTCTGTTGTATTCACAGGAATCAAAACAACAAAAGAAAGTCACCCATAAAGACCATTTATGTAAATTTCACCTTGCATTGTATGTTTTCATTGTTTGATTAAACAGAAATGATTGAGGGACAATTGATAAATAGGAAATAACAAGAAGGCAATATATGTGCCTCCTTGGTGAACAGAATTATTTATCAGGCTACTGGGTTCAGGCAGATTAATAAATAGGAATTGATTAGGTAAGTAAAGAAAAAGTAAAATATATGCCAGGATGATAATATGCAGTCTTGCTCTGGAAGTATAAAAATTAAAATAATCTTTTATAAAAAGAGGAAAAATGTTTATATATGTGTGACTATAAAACTGATCACTTTCTTTCACACTCAATCCAATCTAAGAAGGCAGCAAACATTATTTCAATTGTGTAATATTAGATTATATATGTTATGGTTGACTCGTGTTATTTAGAAAGTTAGAGTATAAAGTACTAATTTAAAATAGTTATATTTCTAACTAAAGACATAGCTCAGATTTTTATATGATTCTAATTAGCACAAGACAATGATCAAGAATTTTGTGGTTATGTTTATACTTTATACAATCTAAGCAGTGATGTGTGTTGACCATTTGAGTTAAAGCTACAATAATATCATCCAATTTCTACTGCCTGTGTATTCCATTTCACAGAACTGTGAAAATGTAACTACTGTGATGTCAATATTTAGAAACGATCTGGAAGAGGTAGTGCACAGTGAAATCTACAATATGGCCATAAAATTAATGTTGCATCAACATAAAAATGTTCAAATTCACCAAGAGGCAGATCAATGGTCACTAACTTTTCAAAACACCTCTTAGAAAATTCACTTTAATTCAATTTAAGCAACATATTTTGAGCACTGACTACATGCCTACTGTTTTACAGGATACCAGAGATGCAAAGATGAATAATTTCTCTGCCCACTATGAAATTTAGATTCAAGAAAAATGATACAATATACATCCTATGATATTCACATTATCATATTTTAATAACGTTTTTAAAAGTTCCATGAGAACACAGAGAAGTGAACAATTCTATCAATTTTATAAATGTACTAATATTCCAAGTTAAATATTCTTATTTTTATTATTAATTTTCTTTTTTTATTTTTGTGGTAAAACAGATTTTATTCGGGGGTTTTGAAGGAGGGGAGAAAGAGAAAGCGAGAGAGAGTGGAGAGTAATGCGCTCAAGAGAGAACCAGGCTTCTCCAAGGACAGAGAGAGCCCCTACACTCATTCAGCATTAGACATAAAAGCATGAAAGTACACATCCCCAGAGGGGACATGCGGGTGACACATGTGCTCAAGCACCGCATGTGTTCGGCCACATGGGCGCAAGCAGCACAGGGGCTCGGGCAGCATGTGTGCTATTAATTTTATTTTCAATGTAACAGTTTTACATGCATTTTTTGGTATGTTGCTTTAAGCTCTTTTGTTTGGGGGCCACATTCAGCAGTGTTCAGGGTTTTCTCCTGGCTCTGTGCTCTGTGATCACTTTGGGCATTGTTCTGGTGACCGTAGGTGGTGCTGCTACATGCAAAGCAAGTGCCTTACCTACTGCACCTCTCACTGGTCCCTATTGCTTTAAATTCCTTGTATAGTGTGACAAAGTAAACATCACAAATACAGTAAATCTGCTGGTGTTGAGTAGGAAACAGAAGGCATTGATGATTGGGCTAAAAAGAACCTCTGAGGCTGGAGTAGTTGTGTGAACAAAATTTAAGAGGCATGCAACGGTGAAATGTGTGGGTAATAAAGAGTGACCAGGCCAGGGAGACCATTCAGAGTCTGGAATGCATACTTGGCATTGTCCCAGGCTCAATATTTGGCACCACATGGTCCCTGAGCACCACTGGGAGCACTCCCTGACCATGATCCAGCACTGCTGGGTGTGACCCAAACAAACAAGAGTGACCTAGAACTGCCATGTATCAGGTAGGTACATGAGAACACACCTCCAACCAAGTTTGGGAAAGTTGCTCTTCGTGGTTAAAAGAAAAAATTAGAAAATTTCAATTATCAAAGACTTGCTATTATAGGCTATTTTGAGATTCTTTCACATTCCAAGGGAGAAAGATAGTGATGTGAAGAATAAAGTAGGAAGAGTGATTAAAGGAGGAAAAACAGTCAAAAATACATTGTAATCATCTAGAAGAGAAATCAGAAGGAGAAATGGTACCAGTGAATAGAAATCAAAGAATATGTGAGGACACTGCAAAAGAAAAAAATTAACAGGACAGGATTTTGACCCTTGAACATGCATGGTAGAGAAGAGCAAGAAGGACCAATGTTTCCAGCAGCTTTAAGAGAATTAGGAGCAGCAGTACTTCCCTGGATCCTGGACCATATCTCTATTAAGCATCCATTCTCATATATGCCCTGGTAAGAAGGGTAGTTCTACCGTCAGGTGCCAGTACTTCCTCTACTCTCTCTACAAATCATCTCTTGGGAAAATACAAAGATGCTTGTGGTATATAACAAATGACCAGAGCAAGTTCTGCACTTTGATCAAACAACATATTGCAGTATTTATAGATCAACACAAAGCAAAACAGAATAAATGTATAGTGCTAAGAAACTAATGGATGTACCTGAAAACTGTTGAGGTCTGTAAGAATGGTTTCCCCGTGTTCTTTTCAATCACTTTAATAAAATCATATTGTTTAGTTTTCATTCAGAACTGATATAATTCTACTCTGAAAGACTATTACTTTATTTTAAAGTATACAGCTAGCAAGCTACTTACAAAATGTACATGATGACACCTATGCTCCAAATGTCACACTGCTGGCTATAGTCATGGGCATTGATAACTTCTGGGGCTGCCAAATAATCAGAAATAAAACAATATTAATAATAGAATAAATGACTGTTGAATGCTCAACACAAAGCATAAAAAGTACTGACTATGTTTTAATTTATTCCCCTAATAGGAAAAAAGAGAACCCACAGCAGATGTTAAATGAATAATGTACAGGTCTTAACAACTGATGTCGCTCTTCTCTTTTAGCTTCTCATAAAATGATGGCACACACTATATAACTACATGTACAACTCTTTATTCCCTTGAAATCGTTAAGAAATTACTTTGCAAAGATTATATCATTACAGAAGACAACAATAACTCAGAGTAGAAAAGAATATAAGCTTTAAATGGATGTAATTTAAAGCAAGCCCAGTATGCAGAAATCCAGATTCACAAAAAGCCCAAGATAAATGGTTAGACATCATTTTAGCAAAACAATAATAAAATAATATCACAGAATTCCTGTGATAGAATATGAATTATTTCTCACATTTACTAAACCAGAAATCTAAGGTTAAGCAAGAAATCTTCAACAGAACTGGGTCAAAAAGTCAATGAGTCTCAGGACAAGAACTCAAATCCAGGTGTTCTTAACTCTTTAATTCTGTGCTACTAAATCTTTATTCCTTGCTTTGCAATATATTCCTTTAAACAACCTTCCCAAAGTAGAACTCTTTTGTTTTGCTTTAAGGTACCTATTTTTTTAAATTAGATTTTTAAAAATTGAATCATCATGTTACACAGTTATAAAGCTACTCATGATGGAGGTTCAGTCATATAATAATACAACACCCATCCCCCCACCAGCATCCATTTCCCATCACCAATGTTTCCCTCCTGCCATCCCCCATAACTGCACCGTAGCACTGTCCTCCTGTTGTTCATCGATTTGCTTGAGCAACCCCAGTAACATCTCCATTGTGAGACTTGTTGTTATTGTGTTTGGCATATCAAATACGTCACTGGTAACCTGCCAGGCTTTGCTGCGCAGGCGAGATACTCTCGGTAGCTTGCCAGGCTCTCCGAGAGGGGGGAAGGAATCGAACCCAGGTCAGCAGGGTCAGCTGCGTGCAAGGCAAATGCCCTACCCGCTGTGTTATTGTTCCAGCCCAATGATAATCCCCATAACTAAATTTTTTAAAAAATAATGATTGACTTTTCTAAGTCACATTTGATATTTAAGGAATGTCTGCTGTATCTCTACAATTAGAAGCCAAATATTCCTATAATTCAAGCTATAAACAATAAAATATATTTGTATATTCAAGTAAACTTTAAAATTAATAGTATACTTCTATGTAAGTATTGATATTGTGAAATAAATATAACAAGTGATAACACTGATAACAAGGGAGAGAACAAGAGAGAAGACAGATGGTTTTTAGAGCTTTGCTCACTGCAGCTACTTTGGTCTTTGTTAGGCATTTGACTCCCTTTGTTAATGAGAAAACTAGTTTAGATATATTCAGTCACACATATATATGTAAAAGAAAGTTTCACAGCACCTTCCATGAATGTTTTTATTTTAGAAAGTGGTTTCAATCTCTCCCATCCACACATACTCCAAGTCACACACACCTTTCATAACCACTAAAAGTAAATGTAATTTCATTTCCAGTGCTACTGCTAAAGAATCTGGAAAAGGGGGCGGGGGGGGGGGGAACGGGGAAGCAAAGAAATATAACCTTTTATCATTCTTCTATTTACCTCTTGATAATTAACAAACAATAGTCCCTAATTTTTGAAAGTCATTCACTAGTTTCCTTAAACATGTTGACATCTGTGTGTATCACCAGTGGCTCAAACTTGAATGTGGTTTACTTACCACAAATGACGGCACTGGAGTAAGTGGGTTAAGCAGCTACTGGTATTCTTTAACTTTAAACACCTACTCATTCAAGTTCAAGTTTCCCTAGGGCTGTGTGTCTCTAGCAAGAACAAATTTGGTGATTAGATTCTGGAAAGATCTCCAGAGAGGTGCATGACAGGGCAGGAGTTCAGAATTCCTGGTCTTCACTTTTTCAGAATTGTCTTAATAATCAGGGGGTATTTTTACTTGCACTGTCATCACAGTTCTCAAAGGGAAACAGAGGCCAGAGTAGCAGTGCCAGAGAGCCATTTAGGAAGTCAGCAAAGCTCTAAAAACCATCTGTTTTCTCTCTTGTTCTCTCACTTGTTATCAGTGTAGACAACTAATAAGCAGGCATAAAACTCAGGGTGATTGGATATATTTTCCCCATGTAACTACAGACCAGATGTCTTTCGCCAACAGGAGTATATGAACAGAATCTAAAGTAGTCTCTTTTCAAATAAGATAAAACAATTACAAAACTTCATACATCAAGTAGGTAGTGTGGGCAGGGAGACACCCTAGATTTACCTCTCAGCAATAAAAAATGAATAAATTACTCAGCAGTAAAAATGAATAAATTATACACAACAGCACATGTCTTGAAATCATTACATAACACAGACAAGACAGACATAAGATATGAGAAAGAAACCAATACTAGCTAATGAAGTCTAGATGGGGGTTAACTGAGCACAATACAGAGGGATTTTCTAGGGTGACAGAAATGTTCCATGTCTTCTTTTAGCTGGTCATTACACAAGTATACGCATTAGTCAAAACTCATGGAACATGTCCCTTAAAACATGTGCATTTTATTGCATATAATTTATATTTCAATAAAGTAATTTATAAAAGAAATCTATAAGTACAAAAGAGTTTGTCAAAACCCTAACTTGGTGGGTGAATTTAATAACTCAGTCTCTCAGAAATAAACAGAAGAAAGCAAAATTAAATGAACAATATGGAAATTTGACAGAGAGCTTTTCCATTTGATTTCATAAACACACACATGGGAATTTTTAAACTCAACAAACAAGGAATGCACAGTTTTAAAAATATCTAATGTAGTATTAGAAAACTAATTGCATGTTCAATCACAAAGAAAATTTCTAAAAGTTGAAAACCTTTAAGTCACAGTTAAACTGCTCAGTGGAATGAAGAAAACAAGACCAAAAAAAAAAAAAATTAGGCCAAGAAAATTAACACTCAGAAGAGTATCAATCACAGCCTAAAAACCTAGAGGAAAATTCTCAAACCATTTCCAAACAAACTTTGGTTTAGAGAAGAGTAAAACTAAAACTAAACCTAAAACTACAGTCTACTTTTTAAATTAACAATAAATAGAACACTGTATAACAAAATAAATGGTCACCAAACTATTGTGGTCAACAAACTATTTAGAGGAAAATAGCCTCAGATGGATTTAATAGAAGTTAAAAAGTCTAAACATTAATAAATGTTCAGCTTTGGCAGTTAAAAATAAACCCAAAAAATCCAGGCAAGATGAAAGAATTTTTTAAGTAATAAAGCAAATAACATTAGAATTAGCAGGTTATTTGAAAGTCCAATAAACTGCCCTAATTACTAATAAATTTTATCAGGAAAAAATGCCTTGTATTATTAGAAGAACTAAAACTTAACACTATGAGACATATGCTGTGCTAGGTATATATATTTTCTTATGTACTTTTGTTTCCATGATAAGTATTTTCTTGATAAGTATTTTCTTATGTACTTTTGTTTCCTTGATTACCATCCTAAATGTTTCTTCTTCCTTTCCCTGATTTATGTTTCTTTCTTGTTCACTTCTTTCTAACATATTAAAGGTAAAGGTAAAGGCCCTCCCGTTGATCGTCGATTTGCTCGAGCGGGCCCAGTAACGTCTCCATTGGAGACTTTGTTGTTACTGTGTCTGGCATATCGAATACTCTCGGTAGCTTGCCGGGCTCTCCGAAAGGGGCGGAGGAATCGAACTCGGGTCGGCCATGTTGGCCGCTTGTAAGGCGAACACCCTACTCTCTGTGCTAATTTTATTAATTAATAGAGCATTAATAGAGTAAAGGGCAGAACTAGAATCTAAGTTAGCCAGGGACTGTAGAGCCCCTAAAGCTTATATCACATCATTTCACTTTCGTTAAACGTAGTTGGAATTAATAGAAAGCTATAACCACAGATACATAGGAGCATCTAAAAATTATAAGTGAATAAAAATGCATATTTATGTTCAATCCCCAGCACCATGTGTCCCTCAACCCAGCACTGCCAGCATGGACCTGGGGGTTCCTTCACTATGTGAAGTATCAGGCCAGATTGCCAGAGAGGCCATTCCCTCAAAAAAGTAAAGAAAAAGTGAGGATTTTTATGTGCTAAATAGAACACTAGTTAAAAAATTATAACCCTAACATTAAAATAATAAAAACAGCACAAAAGAAAGAAATCTAACCTCAAAACTCCAAAATAAGGTAGTGAGAAATTAAGTAGAGCAATATAGCAGCTTATTAAAGCAAATAGAATTTAATCCCTAAAGGCAGGTTGGTTCAACATTCAAAACATCTATTCATATAAATATCTCACTGAAGACATTAAAAAGAGTCACCCCCAGAACATGGAGAAATAAATCTTGATAGAAAAAATCTTCCCTGAAAATAAAACAACAATTTGTCTCAAACAACTCATAGAAGTTGATCACCAGAGAACAACTGATCATGACAAGTACCTGCATTTTGTGTATGGGTGGCTAATGACCTGTGAGGTTGGTGGCATAGGGGAAGCTGGGCGAGCTCTTCTGATGGCCTGGACAAAGGGGCTTACAACCACTTTGGTGCAAACTGCAGACCTAGCAAGGGGAGGTGCAGGGCTGCTGGGTACCTGAAGGGAAAAGCCTATTAGGTTTCCGAAATGGTACTCTGAATACTGATATTCTGGCAGACAGTGTTGCAGGTTATCCCTTACTGACCGTTAACCCTTGACCCCCATCTACCACATTATTGTCAGAAGGGGGTTTCTCACAGCTCTGCTGGTTTGCAGTCCAAACAAGGAAATTACCAATATAGTGGGAATATGTAAGTCTTTGGGGTACAAGAATCCTCCTTTATGGAGGAAAAAGGGATCTGTGAAGTTGTTAAGGGAGCAATCCACCCATGGCTAGACAAAAGTCCCAAAGA